GTGGAGACACACTGGAGCACAGGTGTCAGCTATCCACCAATCCCTGGTGGACCCCAAATTCATCAACCCAGAGGCTCAAGTGACAGTGCAACTCTTTAAGGCCAACTCTTTTAACTTGCTTACAGCCAAGTTACCTGTCCAGTACAAGGTCTGGTCAGGAATATGGACTTTTGCAGTCTCTGTTGATTATCCCATTCACATGCTGCTGGGAGAAGACTTAGCCAACCATGTAAGGCTATCAAAAAGGGTGGGGATGGTCACCCGCAGCCAGACTAAACAGGCCTCAACATCTAACTCCATTCCTGAGCCTCCTAAAAGGACTCAGTCTGTGTCCCCTCATACCACAGGCCCGGGGACCCAGCCAGAGGTGGTGGAACCAGACCCCAGACCAGAGTCTATGGCAGCGGTTGTAGATCCAGTTCCTGGGACCCAGCCAGGACCAGCCCAAGGATCGGAACTGGCAGAGCACTCAGCACCAGAGCCCATGCTTGCAGCCCCAGCAGAGTCAGGGGAGCCAGCACCAGAGGGCGCCACAGAGCCTGCATCTGCAGCAGCAGCTAAACCAGCACAAGATGCTCAACTGGCGCCTGAAATACAACCTAGTGTACCAGCGGAGAGCGGTTCACAGTTGACGGAGACACCCCCATCACCTGCATCTCTTCCAGCGGGACCAAGTCCACAACCCAACAAGGAACTAATGTCTCCAGCATCAAGGGAGCAGTTCCAGGCCGAGCAGGAAGCGGATGAAAGCCTCAAGGGAACTTGGATGGCAGCATGTAGCCACCCACCACCTCTCAGCTTTTCTAATAGGTCCAGGTCTGTTGTAGAAGGAGGACTTTTATACAAGGAAACCCTTTCTGGTGGGCACAAGGCGGACTGGCATCCTCAGAGACAGTTGGTAGTTCCAACTAAGTATAAGGAAAAGCTCTTTAGCTTAGCCCACGATCATCCCTAGTGGCCATGCTGGAGTGAACAGGAACAAAGACCTCTTGGGAAAGTCATTTCACTGGGAAGGAATGGGCAAGGATGTTTCTCCCTATGTCTGGTCTTGTGAGGTGTGCCAGAGGTGGGAAAGCCCCAAGACCAGGTCAAGGCCCCTCTCCAGCCACTCCCCATAATTGAGGTTCCATTTCAGCATGTAGCTGTGAATATTCTGGGTCCTTTCCATAAGAAGACATCCAGAAGAAAGCTGTACATATTGATACTGACCTTCATGGATTTTGCCACCCTATAGTGGAAAGCAGTAGCTCTATTAAAAAAAGTGGGGGCTAAAAGCGTGAGCCAGACATTGACAGACATTTTTGCCAGGGTAGGTTGGCCCTCCAACATCCTTACGGATTCAGAAATTAACTTTCCTGGAAGGGACCATGAAACGTCTTTGGGAAGCTCATGGGGTGAACCACTTGGTTGCCACCCCTTACGACCATAAAATGAATGATCTAGTGGAGAAGTTTAATGGAACTTTGAGGGTCATGATATGTAAATTCATGAATACGCACTCCAATGATTGGGACCTAGTGTTGCAGCAGTTGCTCTTTGCCTACAGAGCTGTACCACATCCCAGTTTAGGGTTTTCACCCTTTGAAATCGTTTATGGCCATGAAGTTAAGGGGCCATTACAGTTGGTGAAGCAGCAATGGGAGAGGGTTACATCTTCTCCAGGAACTAACATTTTGGACTTTATAACCAACCTGCAAAACACCCGCAAGGACTCTCTAGCCCTTGCTCAAGAAAACCTACAGGATGCTCAACAAGAGCAAAAGGCCTGGTGTGATAAACATGACAGAGTGTTCCTTCAGAGTAGATGACCAAGTCATGGTCCTGAAAGCACTCCAGGACAATAAGATGGGAGGGGCCATTTATGGTCCAAGAACACCTGGGAGCTGTTAATTATCTCATAGCGTTCTCAGACCCTACCCTAAAACCTAAAGTATACCATGTTAATTCTCTAAAGCCCTTTTATACCTGAGAAATCAAGGTTCTCCAGTTTACAGCCCAGGAGAGAGACGACGCTGAGTGGCCTGAAGGAGTCTACTATGAAGGAAAAAGCAACAGTGGCATAGAAGAGGTGAGCTTTTCCATAACCCTTGGGCGTAAGCAGTGACAGCAAATCCAGGAGCTCTTCACCAGCTTCACACCAATGTTTTCAGCCACCCCAGAATGAACAGAACAGGTGTACCACTCCATTGACACAGGTGATGCTCGCCCAATTAGAGCTCAACCCTACTGGATGGCTCCTCAAGCCAAAACCGCAATAAAAAGGGAGATGAAGGACATGTTACAGATGGGTGTAATCTGCCCCTCTGAGAGTGCATGGGCCTCTCCAGTGGTTCTGGTTCCCAAACCAGATGGGGAAATCCACTTTTGCATGGACTACCATAAGCTAAATGCTGTAACTCACCCAGAGAACTATCCAATGCCACATACAGATGAGCTATTGGAGAAACTGGGATGTGCCCAATTCATCTCCACCTTAGACTTAACTAAGGGGTACTGGCAAGTGCCGCTAGATGACCCAGCCAAGGAAAGGTCAGCCTTCATCACCCATCTAGAGCTGTATGAATTTAATGTGCTCCCTTTTGGACTGCAAAATGCACCCGCCATCTTCCAGAGGCTGGTAGATAACTTTCTGGCTGGATTTGGGGAATTTGCAGTCACCTATCTTGATGATGTAGCCATATTCTCAGATTCATGGGCAGAACACCTGGAACACCTCCACAATGTCTTCCAGTGCATAAGGGAGGCAGGAATAACTGTTAAGGCCAAAAAAGTCAAATAGGCCTAAACAGGGTCACGTACCTTAGACACCAGGTGAACTATCAACCCCCTTCAGACTAAAGTAAATGCTATCCAAAATTGGCCTGTCCCTAAGTCAAAGAAGCAGGTCTAATCCTTCTTGGGCTTGGCTGGGTATTACAGATGATTTGTACCACACCACAGCCAAATTGCCACCCCACTGACTGACCAGGAAAAAACAGCCAAATGTAGTTCAGTGGACTGAGAAGTGTCAGAAAGCCATTAACCAGCTTAAAGCAACCCTTACATCTGACCCTGTACTAACCTTTCATCGTAACCACAGATGCGTCCGAGTGTGGTGTAGAAGCAGTTTTAATGCAGGAAGGACCAGATCAACAATTCCATCCTGTCATGTTTCTCAGCAAAAAACTTTCTGAGAGGGAAAGCCACTGGTCTGTCTCGGAAAAAGAATGTTATGCCATTGCGTATGCTGTGGAGACGCTACGCCCATAAATTTGGGGATGGGGTTTCCACCTGCAGACTGACCATGCTGCACTGACGTGGCTTCAAACAGTCAAAGAGACTAACAAAAAACTTCTTCGGGTTGAGTTTAGCTCTTCAAGACTTTGATTTTGAAATACAAAATATTTCAGGATCCTCCAACAAAGTGGCGGATGCACTCTCCCGAGAAGGTTTCCCAGAATCAGCCAGGTAAAAATGTTCCTGTATTCTAAGTCATTGTAATCCTTAAAATGTGGAAATTATTGTTTAGTTTTTTATGTAATTAGTAGTAAAATTAGAGGTGCATATACCTTATTAACTCTGTTTTCCTAAACCTCCAGGAAGAAATCCCAGCTGGTGTGGACCTGACCTGAACCACTCTGGCCAACACCATCTGTGATTTTTGGGGGGACTGTGATAAATGAAGAGGGGGGTAGCCCCCTTTTATGGATACCCAGCCAGCCAGTAGCTATAAAATCCCTCTTAGTAGCTGTTCTCTAATTGCTCTACCTGTAAAGGGTTAAAAAGCCTCACTGCTATGCATACGTAAAAGGAAGTGAGTGGGCACCTGGCCAAAAGAGCCAATGGGAAGGCTAGAACTTTTTAAAATTGAACAAAGACTCCCCTTTTGTCTGTCTGTTGTTGTTCTCCCAGGGAGAGGCAGCCAGGCCAGAGCTATGCTGTGAGAAGTTTGGGGCCAGGTATGAAAAAATCATCAGTATCATACCTAGAAACAACTCATTTGAAACCCCAGATATGTAAGTAGATCAGGCAATGTCTAGGAAGATGCCATTAGGTTTATATCTTTTTATTTCTTTATGGCTTGTGGACTCCTCTGTGCTAACCCCAGGTGCTTTTGTTTGCCTTGTAACCTTTAAGCTGGACCTCATGAAAGCTATTCTTGGTGCTTAATCCTTGTAATTGCTCTTTTAAAATCTAACAATAGTCTGAGTTTTTTTTTCTTCTTCTCAACTCTTCTCCGGAGGGGGGGGAGGGGTGAAAGGGCTTGAGGGTACCCCACAGGAAGGAATTCCCAAGTGTGCCTTCCTGGGCTCTCAAAGAAGTTCTGCATTTGGGTGGTGGCAGCATGTACCCATCCAAGGTCAGAGAAAAGCTGCAACCTTGGGAGTTTAATTCAAGCCTGGAGTGGCCAGTATTAATATTTAGAATCCTTGCAGGCCCCCACCTTCTGAACTCAAAGTGCCAAGGTGGGGAATTAGCTGTGACACCAACACTGTTAAAAGATTATAGCGCCACACTATGGGCCTTGTCCTGAAAGGGGTATCTGTCTCACTGAAGTGAACAATTGCTATTCCTGTATTTTTGCTTGTATAAATGTTGACCTTGGTGAGCCAATAGTTTGGCTCACAGCCTCTGAGAATCATTTGATGTTATGCAATTAACGCATTGTGCCTTCTGCTATACATTGCAGGAACTAGATCATTGCATTTCGTTGCATGTTATTTATCCTTTATATTGCAGTATTGCCTGTAGGCCTCAACCAGGTCTGGGCCCCATTGGACTAAGTGGTGTACGACTGTTTAGCAAATGACAGTACCTGCCCAAAGAGCTCACAGTGTAAAGGCAAGAAATGACAAGTGAATTAAACAAACATGTGAGGGGCAGGGAGAGAGGAAGGAGTGGGGATGATGGGGCAACAAATAGATTTAAAATACTTTTTTATTTAAAAAGTCTCTTAACACTTTGAGGCACTGTGAAAATTAAAATTAAAGTAATTTTACAGATGGGTGAACAAGGTACACAGCAGGTAAATGAATTGCTCAAAGTCACCAACTGAATCTATAGCAGAGTCAAGCCTAGAACCCAGAAGTCCTAACGCCAGTCCCTTGTGCTAACCAGTCACACTGCCCTTCTAGTCAGTGACATCCAGAGTATTTGGAATTATTTTTAAAGAGCGTGAACAATTTTTTCCATGTCTGAATGTTTGTGTCTAGATCTCCCATGTCACTTCTTCCCATAATTCCCCTGCAGAGCTAAGTGTGGTCCTTCAGAGTGTTTTTTCTCATTATTAGTCATTTTCATATCTGAGCTGAAATATTATAATTTAAGGTCCTGATGCCTTATTGTTACTTACCACATTTTCATGGATAACTGCATTTTTCTTCTGCCACAGCACTTGGTGGTAATAAATAATATACAGAATACTTTGAGTTCTGAGATATCCCAAAGCATTGTGAGAAATCATTTACTGCTTTGTGTGTGCTCTATTATAGCTTTCTGCAGCAGAGGTGAAACAGTAGGAAGGGCTGGAGAGCAAAACTTTATTTCCCATTACTTGTACATTGACTAACATTAGCATAATACTTTGAACAAAGGGTAGAAATTACAGCAAATAAAAATACCATGTAATCAGTTAATGCAATCTTAGGCTGAGTTCATAATAATTGAAAGAATTCAAAGCCTGAAAGTATTGCTTCCCTGCATTATCCTAGGCTTTCAAATCAGTAGACCTGCACTACAAATGAGCACACAGGCAGGGGATGTCTTTTTAGCTTACTCCTGGAGTGCAGTGTTACATTTTCTTCTTCTATATCAAATTTTTCTCTGTCTGGGAGGAGAAAGGATAGAGATTTTTGTAAAAACTTATGAAGCTTTAGTATTACAGGGCAAGGTGGGGCAGGGGGTGGGGAAGAATTATATGAACTTAGACTGCAGTCTATTTCCCAACTTTTCAGTTAGTGATTCAGAAAGGAATGTCACAGTTACCACTGTTCCTAATTTTAGTGTATAGATTATGTCCAAAAAATTATGCTAAAAGAATGTAAGTGTTGCATAGCGGAGTACTCAATAGTTCAAAAATGCCAGAATAATGGATGTCCATGGAATCTTAATTTGACTTCCTTATAAGCATATGATAATACTTAGTTACATGATCATACTCTGTTTTTTCCACAAGTCTCCTGCCTTGTTCACTGAATGAGTATGTGATGGGCTATCTACCCCACAGTTAATGAAAGAGTGTACCAGAAACAGAGCAATTAGCATACCTGGAGATGGGCTGGGCCCCACTGAAGATGAAGCCCAACCAATGGAGGAGCTGGGCGGTGAGCATCAAGGGAGGAGGCTGAAGGGAAAGAGGAAGAACTCTGTGGTCCCTCTCTGGTTGCTATAGAGTGGAGGAAAGGCCAATGTACAGTAAACCTAGGGAGGAGATGTGCGTAAGGTCCTAAAGGAAGGCCAAGGTAGGAAAAAGTCCAGGAAGACAGTGACAAGTCTGAGGGAGCAGACTTAGATGCTTCCCCCAGCACCCCTGGACTGGAGCCCACTAGAGAGAAGGCTGCGCTCCTCTGCTGGCCCACTGAAAAGGTGGTGTGGAAACACCTTGGTGCACGAGGGAGAAGGGCTGCTAAGTTTAGTGCTGGGCATCCAAGGAGAAAGCCTTGGAAGTGTTGCGCCCCACAAGAGCAGGAGGACAGTCCTTCAGGGTCCAGGAAGGTGTGAAGAGTCTGCACCAGAGAGAGCCTGGGTAGGGGCAAAGAGTTTTGTTTATCTGAGTTTAGTTTATTTGACTGTTTCCCTGGAAGGGGTGGGACTAAATGTGACCTGGCCAGAGGCTGAGTTACAAGAAGAGGCAGAATGCTACAGGGCTGGAGCAGCTGTTGGCAAGGACGCTAGAGAAGGCAAGCATGCTGTGCTGAGGCTGGCCATGAGGGGCTGTGTCAGCAGTGAGACTACTCATCTACAGAGTAGTTATTCAATATTTCCTATCCTCCTCATTCTGTCTGTAGTCCTAGGCCTCATTTATCTCACACCATTCTCTATATCGCATGAAAACAGATTAACTTCCCAGTGCCTATGATGTTCTGACTATAGCCTCTGAGTGCTCCATAAATATTAGTGACGTTACCTTCACAACAAGCCTGTGTGATTAGGTGGTGGTATTATTATTCCCATTTTACAGCTGGGAAACTGAGACACAAGAGGTTGGGATTCACAAGGAGGACTAGGGTGTCCTGCCACCCAGTGGACTTCTCAATCCAGTGTAAAGGGAGTCTAGGCATTTAACTATGCATGGGGAGAGTTTGACACCTAAAAATGGGATCCACAAAAGTCAGCAGTCTAAGCAGTGAGCTGGGAGCTGCCCAAGCTAACCAGTAGGCAATGCTGAGGACAGGGGTGTGGCCTAAAGCTCCCTTCCCTCTCAAAGGGATGTAGGTGCCTAACTCTAAATTTCCAGCTGCGAACCCTCTCCTGCAGTTAGGTCCCTAGGCCATGTTAGTCCTTTTTCAAGAAAAACTGAGAAGGAGGAACCACCTCCCTTATAGCTCTTAGCACAATGGCTGATACACTCACCTAGCTCAGTTTCCCACCTCTGCTTGTTGTGGAGAAAGGATTTGAACTTGGGGCTTCCACCTCTCCACTAACTGGGCTATGGGGTACTTTGGGGCAGAGCTGTCTCAAGATCTTTCAGTGAAGCTGTTCCGCTTTGTATAACTGTGTGTTGGGCCAAGGAGAGAAATAAAATGAATTTATAGTCCAGAAAAAAGTAATGTATGATCATGTAACTAAAGACTATCATAACACACACCCACAAGGGGGCCAAATTAGAGATGCACTGCAACCCTATTTCTGGCATGTCCTAACTTGTGAGTGCTTTACTTTGCAACGTTGATGTGCTTTTGACAGCGGTTTTTTATTCTGATGTAATTTCCTAACTTTAAAAAAAAGGTGAGATTGAAGCTCCTCATGATGGGGCACTAAGGTCCATGGGATCTGAGTCCCTCCAATTCCTCCTGAACTTTGGCCTCTTCCACTCAGGCCATCCCAGTGATGTAGGCTGCCTCAGAGATGAAGTGCTCTAAGGAAAAAAAAATTACAGAAGAAGGGGTAAGTCAGAGCTAACTCCAAGGAGACCTCATATCTCGAAATAGGTACCATTGAGGCTCCAAGAGACCCCAGCAACAAGGTGTCAGTACCGCCTAAGAAGATATTCCACGCTGATAAGTCTGCCAATAAGCAGTGCCAAGGGCACCATCCACATTATCGTCTACCTAGACTTCCAGGCATTGAGCCTGAATTGCTCTGCTCTGCATACTGACATCTTCTGGTGCTGACTGTTCCCTCTTTCTTCTTGGATCTTTATGGCTAGCCAGCTGGATGTTCACCAACAGCTGCCTTTGGAGGCTGGTCTGTTTGGTTTACTATCTACATTTTAACATGTATTTAATACCAGATGCAGCCGATGAAGTGGGCTGTAGCCCACAAAAGCTTATGCTCAAATAAATTTGTTAGTCTGTAAGGTGCCACAAGTACTCCTGTTCTTTTTAGATGTTATACTGTTATCCCAATGCCACCTAATAAAGTAGGTGAACATTGTTTATATTGTATTGTATCGTTATTTACAATTCTTGCTGTGCTTACAAGTCTTGCTGGGGCTTCTGTAAATCTCATTGTTTTTTAAAGGTCCACTCGATACTGCTAACAATGCTTTAAAGTCTGACCATTATTTCCCAGGAGGGGAACCAAATTCAAATGACCACTTCCAAACCCACTTTTATGGTTTTATTTGGGATTAGTTTCAAAATGCTTTCTGGTATGGAAGCAGCTAAAAACTGCAGTGATAACCTTGCTCATCTCAGGACATTTCTGTCATTTGGGGCTGAAGGGTAAAGTTTTCAAAAGCATATTTTTAAAAAATTGAGACTTAAGTTCCTAAGGGACGTAGCTACCTAAATCCACCATACCTAACTCCTGCCACTGACATTCACAAAACCACTGCTAAGCTGCTGCCTAACCCTGTAGGTGCTTAGAGTCTCTTAGATGCCTAAATTTCTCCTGGTGGGAATGCACAAAGCTTCCTAATTCCTGATCCCACCCCATGCCTAATGAGCTGCTTGGAGCCCTTGCTCATGCTTAACCCCTGCTACTATTCTCAAAGGAGGCATTTTCTCACCTGTGGGACCTGATTGGTAGCTGTGCTCAGAGCATGCCTAACCAGCACAAAAGACAGATAGGGTGAGCAGTTCAGGCTGACAGTGTCTGTGTCCCACCCAAAATACCCACTTGCCTAGTGGTTTAGGTATTCACTTGACATCTGGAAGGGCCAAAGTTGAATCCAGACTCTGATTGCTTTGGAGTAGGGACCTCAACCTTTGTCTCCTATATTCCAAGAGTGTGCCCTAACCACCAGGCTATTGGGTCTGCTCAGGTGGGGCTTTTTCAATCTCTCCTGTTGAAGCTGTTTCATTGTGTATAAATATTAATTGGAGCAGCGAGTTGAACCTGATGCTCCTACATGCTAGGTGAGTGTTCTATTCACTATGAGTCAGCCTCTTACTTTTTCTTTCTCTAGTCCAATGAATAATTAATACAAAGTGGAACAGCTCCAGCTGGAGAGATTTAAACCCCCACTGCCATTGTACCCAGTAGCCTTGATGGTTGGGGCATGTCCCGAGGATCTGGTAAGCGGAGTTTAAGTTCCTGTGCTGAATCAGACAGAACACGAATTTGAAAACCGGTCTCCCCTATGAGTGCAATAACGTTGTGGCTATTGGCTATAACAGGGTGGGGGGCTTGCTCTCTGCCTTTTTTGCAAGAAAGGGCTGACCTTGACCAGGTCCCTAACTCCAGAAAAGGGTTCATGGCTTTTCATCCCAAGCATAGATAGACGCCTGACTGAAGGTACCTAAGGCCCAGATCTGTGGGAATTAGGCACCTAAGTCCATCTGGAGACCTGGATTCTAAGTCCTTCCCCTTTCTTTGACATTCACTGTTGGCTGGATTAGGTGGCTCCCTGCTCAGTTTGCTAGCTTGTGAGAATCCCTGTTAAGCACTCAACTCTCCCCACACAATGCACAAGGAGCTTGGGTGCCCAACCTGGGGCTGTGAATTCCAGGGGGCAGCACGGTGCCCACAAGTTAAGCTGAATCTTGAAATGCCAAAGTGACTTAGGTGATTTTGGAAGCTTTAGTTGAAATCTCATGAATACAATTTGTCATATTTCAGTGCAGTTGAACCTGAATTCTGAACACCTCAGCCTGCCCGTACTTCACATACTACTTCCTTGCCCTTTGAATGGGTCTCTGAATGGAAAGTTTTAGATGTGTTTTGGGTAGTACTATGTGGGGCCGTGCCAGAGATTTTCTCTTTCCCAACCTGAGTTTCTGGTTCCGCAATTCAACAACATTGTATTAGCTCCTGATTAAAGGACATAATTGGGTCCAGACATCTCATCTCACTTGACTTATATGACCTTTGAGCCCAGACTGCCTGTAGCTTGTTTTAATCTTCCTTCAGTAGGTTTCAAAGATAATCCTAGTATGATTCTGAACATCAAAAAATATTCATTGAGGCTGGGTGCATTTTATATGTAATAAAACATTTATATGTGGCAATGTATTCAGTTCATCAGTATCTTATCCACTGAGGAAAGCGAGAGGTTCATTGGGAGAATGAGTAAGACCATAGAAACAGCAAGAGATTTTGATAGCATCAGAGTAAACATGCAAACAAAGTGTAAACATGTGTAATGTCTTTGAGCCCTTTGACATGAATATACCACTTTTCATAGTTTCCTTGCATTGTATTTTATATGTTTGAATACTTGTTGGAAAAAATATTTTCTATGCAAAATGTCCTCCTGCATGTTTATGTTTACAGTTTATTAGATATTGTAGTAGTAAGGGCTTTACAGTTCTCTTTTACACTTACAATTTGATTTCCAGACAGTTGTATTGTGGTACTGTAGGACTGATAACAGATGACTCAGTCAATTGGAATACAAATTGCTTTAGTCCATTTTCAGACTGCAATGCTTTTCATTAATATAAAATTTTTCAACTTAGTAACATACCTCGGAAATAAAACCTTTTGTTTTTCAGCAGCTGATAGATTTTTGGCCAGAGCTGTGAAATATGTAAACAATGATACATAGCAAGGCATGCATTTAGAGATGATCAAATTTCTTAGGTCATCTGTGATCCAGATAAAGAACACCAAGAACACCAAGAAGAACAAAAGAACTCTGTAGTATGCCTGGGATGTTCCATTTAATTTCCGCTGAGTCCATGTGGATCTTAATGACATGAGAGAGGGAGAATCAATAGAATCAAAGATAAATGTAATACCATGGGAAAACAACTAAAGACAGAGCCAATGCAAGCTAACTTCTTGGAAGTCCATCTGGTGCCAAGTGCAGGTGAAGAACAGAGAAGGCTGACACTAGAGACCACCCAATGGATGTGGATGATATAGAACAGGGGTTCTCACAAATCTTTTGGTGGCTTCAGAGTGCTGCCACCAACTCTTGCTGGTGGCCTCTCTGACAATTTTTCCTAAAATACTTAATTAACTGTAGGAAAAACAAATAAATATGCATATATATGTGACCAAATCTTTGTAATTTACTTATGTAGTAGGAAGGCGGTAGGAAGTAGAGCTCCCCATTCAGCGCATCCGGACTTCGCTCCTATTCTTGTGCTCAGAGCATGTCACGGAGCAGCCCTGCAACAACCCAAAGCTGTGGTAGCCACAGCAACTGTAAACAGCCAATGTGGCCCCTGGTGAGGGAAGAGCCAACCTGTCTCTGTATCCTGGCTTCCCGCAGCTCTGACGTGCCAATTATGCATTTAAAACCCTCCCCCTGTGCCTTTTTGCACACACTTCAGTTTTCAAAAAAAGAAGAACAGGAGGACTTGTGGCACCTTAGAGACTAACAAATTTATTAGAGCATAAGCTTTCGTGGACTACAGCCCACTTCTTCGGATGCATATAGAATGGAACATATATTGAGGAGATTTTCAAAATCAGGCTGGGATTTTCAAAGCAGCATTAGGGAATCTGAAGACCAAATATCCCTGAAATTCAGTAGGAACTGGGCACCTAGCTCTCAGACTCTTTTGAATATCTCCACTCTAATGACTGCAGTTGTATTATTCCAAAATACAATTTAACTTCGTAAAATTCATCTGAGCCTGAGAAACTAATGTTGTTCTATATTTGTTGCTAACCATAACTCTTGCCAGACCTCTGCATTCACTGAATGTCTGTGTTATCAGAAGGAAACAAAAATGTTGGATTTCATTTTTAGGTTTCTGCTTGCCCTTTAAATGGCATCGCGTGTGAGAAAGCAGAGCAGCTGTTTGTGTGTAAAGCTCACGCACACATTTCTATAAATAGGATTTAGCTGGTATCCCATGATGATTTTGAGCCAGATCAATATATGAAGAAAACTAGGATGCCTGAAACATAATGAAATATTTAATATTCCCTCCACCACAAATGGGTTAGTAAGTGACATGAATGACTATTAGACATGGGCCAAAGCTGCAAAATTCAATCTGAGTAATGACTCACCTACAAAGTTTGGGGATTGGGCCCCATGTTTAATAAATATACGAGGCAAAGATTTTTCTTATTGGTATAGATGAGGCCCCTTTTTTTAGCATGGTAGCCTGAAGTTTGGCAACTAAATCTTAAATCAAAGTGGCCTGAGTTCCAAAAGTGTTGAGCACCCACAGATCCCAGTGAAGTCAATGAGAATTTCAGGTGTTCAGCAAAAAAAAAAATCATCCCACTTTGCTTTAGTGCTTCAATATTTAGGAGACTAACATTAGGCACCCAGGTTTAAACATTTTGGCCTAAGTAAACAGAAATAAAATAGTCCCTTCACAAGGGAAAATAAGAATATAAAATACAATGGAAATAGGTGGCTTGATTTTCCTCTCATTTACCTTAGTGACTCCATGTGACAGAGTGCTGGGAATCAACAGCTAAGACAGCACTCTGATCACTTAAACACTAATTAACTCCCCCAGGGTGGACTGACAGTATCTAATTAGCAGATTAGTATGGGCTGGG